CTCCCTGCTCCGCGGGAAGCCTGCTTCTCCCTCTCCCACTCCCCCTGCTTGTGTTCCCTCTTTCGCTGTGTCTCTCTCTGTCAAATAAATAAATACAATCTTTTGAAAGAAAAAAAAAATGCTTCTTAAGCATGAGGGAAGACTCCAGTGAAACCAAGAGGCCATTTATGCAGGGTGGAAGGGTCTGTCCAGGAAACAGAGGAGAATCATCAGGAAGGAGACAGGAAAGAATAGGCAGGCATTTCCACTTGCAAGAACACAAGGGAACTCTGGGGAAAATCTTGATAAAAGGAAATCTATGACCACCAAGTCTAGCTCATAATTCTGCCTCAACTGAACCCAGAATAAATACCACCCCACGCCACCTTACCATTTGCCTTTAACCCGAGCCATGGACCCAGGCACAGCAAGGTCCAGTGTCCAGTATAAAGTTGCCCAGGGCAGGCCTGGGGGCCCCATCCAGGCCTTGGATATCCACTCCAGTGTGTTCATTTGTCTACAAGGCTCTTGACTTTGTTTGGCTTTGTTCACTCCTGGGACCTGCAGGTTCCCGAGCTTTGACCCTCATTCCTACCAAAGACACAGCTTGTCCCCATCCCATGGCTCTACTTATTCCAAGGAATACACTTACTCTTTTTTTTTTAAACACTGCTATTCCCCCACTGGGCACCTCCTACAACCAAAATGGCGCCATGTGCCCATGTCACCCCCTGGAGTCCTGACTTGTTGATTTTTGAGATTCCTCAGAAATCTCCTCTCTATTGCAAAGCTGGGGGTCTGTGGCTTCCCCTGGGCCTTCCCCAGCATCACTGTGACCTCTCTGTTACCCAAAGACACTCACCCATAAGGCCATCTGGCACGGGCCAAGCACATCAACGATGGCCAAGCCTTGGAGGCCAAGGCCACTTCCTTCCACTGAGTCTCCCTGCAGGCCAGTACTGGTGTTGGTAGAAAAGTGATAGGTGTATCTGGTGCCCACAGGGAGGTGGGGATCAGCTGACCCTGGAGAGCAGACAGAGGGCACAGTGTCACCTTGACAACCCATCACCCTCTGGGACCCAACTGCATGGAGACTATTTGGACATCCTGTTCCCACCTCCCTCCCTCCATCTGGGCCATGAGCTGCCTGCTCCTGGTGCAGGGGAAGGCTGGGGGGCTACACACTCCTATGAGGGTCAAGGAGAAAATTACAATATTAACAGTTAGTGCTTAGTAAACGTCAACCGGTGTTCTCAGATGCTAAGGCCCCCTTCTAAGAGCTTTATATGTCATCTTTGGCCTCTACCCACTTGATGGGACACCCAGTTGCCATAACCAAAACTATCTCTAGACATTGCAAAATATCCCTGAGAGGTACCATCATCCTGGTTCAGAACTAATGATCTACACTTACGTGAACCCATTTAGGCCTCTTACCCAACTTTGAGGTGGGTGCTCTTAGTTTCCCCATTTTACAGAGGTAGAAACGGAGGCCCAGAGAGGTTAACTAACTCACCCAAGGTCACACAGCTGGGATGCCAACCTTGGAAGTCTGACTCCTCACCTTGAGGACTATAGCATGTGCGAGGAAGGTGTTGCCCTGATCCCTTATGGGGGCAGAACTGTCAAGCTGACAGGACTCAGGAGCACTGAGGTGGCGGAAAGGGCTGATTTAGGGAGCAGACAGCTCTGTACTTTTCTAACCCTCTATTTAGGCCAGGGGACAGATTGCAAAACTGTGACACCCCACCCTTCTCTGGGGCTTGAAAGTGAATTAACATGTTCATGTGCTCAAACAGAGCCACGCCTTTCACTCCCAGGATGCTTCTCTCCCTCCAAAGAATTTGCCCTGAGGTTCTTTCATCTACTCCACCTCAAAATGCAAATAGAATCACCCAGCACAGATGTTTATTCCACCTGGTGACCACAAGGTATGAGGCCAAAGCCCTTGGGCGCTTTACCTTGGGTGTGTTGTTTGCTTCTCTAACTGCTGATGACCAGATGGCTTTTCCAGAACTGGCCTCGCTCCGCCCAACCGGCCTCCCCTGGGAACGGGGACATGCCCTCCGAGGCTGTCCTGAATCACACCCAGCAGCTGGTCAGCCTTGTTCCCACAACCACCCCCACCCCATCCTGTCTCCTGGTCACCAGAGGTGTGATAAGTTCTCCTGGGAGGCTTACTCACCTGTGCACGCCATCATGCAGGAGGCCGCCTGTCTCACCAGCGAATCTGGAATTTCTGAAATCACAGATCAGATGGAACGAGCGCAAGGCCAGAGGGAGGAGAGCCCCAACCCATGGGCTACTGACCTACTTGTGAATGGGACGGTTAAGGGTTCAAGGGGATAAGAGAGAACGCCAGCTCTCCTGTCTCCCATAGGGCTGGGAGTGACCTCCCCAGCCCTTACCCAACCTGCTCTTCCCCATCTTGCTTGCCCACACCACTGTCCCGATTGCTTAAGCTGGTGACCTGGGAGTCATCTGTACTTCTACTCCTTTCCCTTATTGCCACCCCAAATCCAGTACATCAGCACGCTCTGCCAATTCCATCGACAAATGCAGGTCTCCCTCCCTCCCTCCATCTCTCCATCCCTCCCTCCTCCCCTCCCTCCCTCCATCTCTCCATCTTTCCCTCCCCTCCCCTCCCCCCCATCTCTCTCTCCATCTCTTCATCCCTGCCTCCCTCCTCTCCTCCCTCCCTCCTTCTGTGTGTCTCCATCTCCCTGGCCATCACTCTAGACAAAGCCACACCTTCTCTTGCCTAGATGATGGAAGTAGCCTCCTAACTATTCCCCCATGTCCACAATTCATCGTCCACAGCTAGAGTCATCTTAAAAACCTAAACCTGATCCCATCACTCCTGGTTTAATAGCTCCTCAGTCTCCTGCCCACCACTCCCGAGCCACATGCACTCATAAGGACATCCCGACCACGAGAGCTGGCCTTACTCTGCCCTCTGGCCACATCTCATCCTGCCCTCACCCTCCAGCCACACTGGCTCTTCTTCAGCTCAAGGCCTCTGCACATGCTGTTCCCTCCTGCCCGAACACTCTTCCTTCTGCTCTTCACACCCCCGGCTCCTTCAGGTCTCGCCCCAGTAGGGCCCTCCCTGACCACTACGAACCAACAAAGCCAGACCAAGGGGCTGCAGCAGTGAATGCTGGACCCTAGTGCTGCTCCCTGGTGGGTCTCAGGACACCTCATCCCCACCCCCACCACCTTCTCAGCTGCAGAAGACAACCACAGCATGAACAGCCTGGGCTCCCGACCTCCTTAGACCTCCTTAGCCCCTACCTTGGGCCACTGAGGTCCCTTTGCAGGGAACCTCCCAGCCCCCCTCCCCAGCAGCTCTCCCTCCGCCCATCCCAGCCTGAGGCCTTCCCACTTCCACCTTCTGTCATTCTCATTTATCCTTTCTTTCAGCCACTTGCCTGCATATTTCTGGCCATCATTGGCCCTCCTGGGACAGCCTCAGCCAGGTAGCCATCCATCTGCAGCCATTTTCATACAACGGCTTTTCAGTAATACCATTTCTATCCTCAAAACCACCCCACCAGGGGCGCCTGGGTGGCTCAGTCGTTAAGTCATTAAGTCGACCTGCCTTTGGCTCAGGTCAGGATCCCAGGGTCCTGGGATCGAGCCCCAAATCAGGCTCCCTGCTCCGTGGGAAGCCTGTTTCT